GGGCATAAATGAAGACATATAAGTTTTAAGATTAAAGCATCCAGACCATCTCTAGTGGCCCAATTGTAGTTTATTGGTTAATTTGAAAGATCAAATGCAAACAAATCAAAAGAAAAGAAAATAAAAACAACTCAAATCAAGTGAGGCTATTTTTAAGATGAAAATCAAATGGACAAACCTGATAGAAGAAGGGTAAGGAGGAAAAGATGGGTGAAGGAAATCTTGGCCATCTTTAGCAGAATTCAACAATGTCTATATTGTCTTTTCTTTAGGGTAGTTGGTTGCAGGACATGACTAAAGTTTGGGAGGTATATATTGGCCTAATATTACCACTTCAAAAGTTTGGGAGGTATGATGATTTTAATAGAACAATTAATTAAATAAAAATTAATTATTTTTATTTTTTAATATAAATTAATAATGATTATGAGTATTTATTACACTTTTAAAAACCATCCATTTAAAAAAAAAGTAATTAATATTTTATATATTTTTTCCATTTATTGTATGAAAGATAAAAAACCTATTATGGAAACATAACAGTCAATAATATATTTTAGTTAATATATAGCTTTCTCCCTTTGAAAATGTTATAGTTACTGTTAGAATAGAAGGTTCATATGATTTTTCAATAAAATAAAATAAAATAAAGTTAACGCGCAGGTTAGATGAGAATATTTAAATTCAAATCAAACTCTCAAGCGAGAGGTTTAAGGAGTAAATTAGGCACAAATTGTGATCGAATCATTATAAATCATCATGTTTAATTTTCTCCCTTCCCTTACTTTTTTTAGTTCTGCACTTTAGTTTAATTGTATGTGAGCACACTTGCTTGTTCATCAATTCAACAACTCAATTCACCCCCTCTTAGGTTGCCATCTTTTGGGTCAACAATTAAGAGAAGTGTAAAGAACATATATTAAAGAAAAATAAGGTGCAAAAATAGAATATACATGTGAAGATCTATAAATCTAATATGCATGGTTTTTCATTTGAAATATGGTCATATTATGGGCTTATTTGGTTAGAGAGCCACTAAGAAAAGTTTTTATTGAAAAAGTAGTTAAAAAAATAGTATATGAAAAGTTAAAAAGTATTGTATAAAAAATTATGAAATTTTGTAATAAAGCTTTATTAAAATTTTGTTAGATTATTAATTTTGTTGTATTTGATAAGAAATTGATATAGGAAAAGTTAGTAGGTGAAGTTGTTGAATGAACTCAATATGGCTTAATTCAATTTTTAGTTTATTAACTATCATTTTGATTTCATTTTAGTCTAAAAACTATGTTTTATTTCTAAGTGGTCTATTAACTTTCAGATTCATTTCAATTTTGTCTATTTGGTCAAAGATAACGGAAACTTCCTATTATGTTGGAGAACAGTTAGTCCTCTAACTATTTTTTTTTATCTTTTAGTCCTCAAATTTATATTTGTTATAAAAATAGTTTTTATACTTAAAATTATTATTTTTAGGCTCTGATACCAGATTCTTTTTCGGGTTTTCAGAACTTAACTCAGATTACTACTAACTAATGAATAGTTGGTATGTTAAGCTCAGTTAGTGTGGAATTTGATTTACTAGACTGCTAACAAAGATAATCACTTTCTAGTTGTGTCTAAATCTTATAAAAATTTTTATCTATATCACTTTCTAGTTGTAGAATTATTCTGTTATACATTTTTAAGATTTGATTGCAAATTTTTCAACGCTTGCTTTTAATATCTTGAAATTTTCTTTTATTTTGATTTCTATCTCTCTTACTCGAGATATCAAAGTTTTTGAGTCTTTAATAGACCTTATTTCTTCTTTTATTTCTTTCAAATTTCTAGAGTTTTTGACATTATTTATTCTTTCTTTTATAGAATCAAATTCTTGAGAAAGGGATTTTCTCATTTCTTTAATTCTTCTTAGGGTATTTTCATTAATTGTTTCTATTTTTAGAATATTAGTAAATGCTAAAAAAGTTTCTTCTTGATTCAAGGGAAGTGATACGATTACCAAAAGATGCTTCAATGCTTGTTACGCTTAAAGTTCTTGAGTATGAACTGTTCCACTTCTGTCCACTCAAGGTCAGACTCTTCCAGTTCTGTGTTGAAGATGCTTTGTTAATCTTACA